AGGATGGCTTTGTCCGGGTGGATCGGGACTACGTGGCACAGGCAGCCGAGCTGGCGCGGGCAGGGGGCTGCAAACACTTTATCCTGCAGTCCTCCCGGGGGGCAAACGCACAGAGCCGCTTCCTCTACCTCCGCGTGAAGGTGAGGGGGCTGCTGGGGTGGGCTCCTGATGCTCGTGCAGGAATCACGCGATGCCAGGAGGCTCGGGAAGCAAGCAGGAGCTGAGGTTTAGAGATGCAAATGGCTCTGGGGGTCCTCCTGCTGCTGTGGGACAAGGGAGGGGGCTGGCTGGACAGCTGTGCAACTGGCTTCTTATAAAGCAGCACAACACCTGCATGCAGCGTCTGCCTCCCTCCTCAAACTCCAGAAACATCTGCTGGGGTCTCCAGCCCAACAACAGTTCCCCAGCCTTAAGCTGGGATAGCTTCACGGCTATGTGGGAAGCTCAGGGCTGTGGCCAGGTGAGATGTGAACTGTCTCCTGAGGGAAGGCCTGCAGGCTCCCCAGGGAGGACCACACCCGTCGCAAAAGCTTTTTTGTCCATGTGTTGTGTGCTGCAGCTCCCAACACCTGCTGGACTCAGAGCTGCCTGCCAGCGCCTTGTGCCACCTGGATCCATCCCCAGGCTGGATGCTGAGTCCAGATGCTCTCCGGAGCAGCCTGTTGCAGTTTAGCACAGTTTAGTGATGGTTGCAAGGGCGCACTGCTGCCTGGCCTGGAGAGCTGATCCCTGCCTGGCCTGCTCCAGCCTCACGTGTGTGTTAGTGCCACCCTGCCCTCGGCTCAGCAGCCCTCTCCTGACTGTTCATGGGGGTGGCAGGGATGGTGCTTGCAGTCATCCTTGTCTCCTTTTGTCCTGCCTGGCTGCTCTGACAGGGAGAAGTGGAAAACCTGGTCCAGGCTGTTGGTTTTGATCACTGTACCATTCTCCGGCCAGCGTGAGTAGTGTGGAGGTGGGAGGGCACAGGGTGCAGGGTTGCCAGGGCAGCAGGGAAATGCTTCAATGGGAGATGGAGGAAGAGAAAGGCTACATGAGGGTAGGGCTGGGGAGGGAAGTGGAGAGTGCCAGCAGCAGCAAATGCAGTTCATGGATGAGCAGACTGCTTCCCAGTGCTGCAAGGAGCAATCTCTGCAGTTTCCTATGGCCCATCCCACTGCTAGTGCCATGCACCATGCAATGACAGGATCTTTGGGCTGAAAGCATAGGTTGAGGCACATAGGTCAGAGCTTAGCTCCAGATGGACCTTGACCATATGGAGAGGGAACACTCCCCTGTGTCCTTTCAGGTGTACTGTGCTCTTGATACCTAGGAGAACTGAATTCTGCCCTCATCAGCACAGTGGGGAAAGGAGTTTAGTGTCCGAGGGCTCAGCTCTGTCACATTCCATGACCCTGTCAAGACCCCAAAGCCCGTGTCAGTTCAGGGAGCCTGTCTGGCCCCTGGTGCAGCTGGAGAACTCAGTCTCTGGCTCTCACCCTGGATTGTTTCATGCTGACCCACCTCACCTGCTTGCTCTGCAGGGTGCTGCTGTGCAGGCGCCAGGAGTCCCGGCCCATGGAGTGGATAGCCCAGCAGTTCTTGGGCGCTGTGGCTCGGCTGTTCCCCACCGCTTACTCAGTGCCTGTGGAAATGGTGGCCAGGGCTATGGTGGCCTGTGCACTGCAGCCAGGAGAGGGGAAGGTAAAGGTGCTGGAGAACAGGGCCATCCATGAGCTAGGAAAGGCAGTGCCACAGCAGAGCACAGGGCAGCAGGGATGACACGCAGGAGCTTGGTTCACTCTTCAGATGCTCTCTGGGCTGAGGATGAGCGCACACATGGGAGAGGTGTGGGGTGCTTGCATGGCTAGCGTGGAGCCCAGAGGTACATCCACTTTTTGCACTTTGGCTGATTCTCTCAAGTGATCAAAAATGCAGGTGCTGGCTGCTGGGTGGGGATAAACAATGTGCACTGCTGCCTGGATCCATAATACAAATACGGGTAAAGATGATGTAATCCAGGCCTTGAATAAAACCCTGTGACTGATCTGGTTGTGCCGGCTTTGTGTTGAAATAATGTCTGTCACCCACATGTCACCAACCCAGCCTCAGCCTCATGTGCTCAGATCGTGTCACTTCAGAGAATGCTCACTGGCAGGTGACAGGCACAGGAAGGCAGCTGCCTGTGTGGAGGCTGCACTTGACAGAGCACATGGTGGCACCAGTGCTGTTTGGATAGCAGAGCTCCTGGATGCTCAGCAGCAGCTGCTGAGGCGCCAGGAGTGTCTATGCAGACACTGCTGGGCTCATCTGCTCAGGGTGCAGGGCTCTGGGGACGCTGCTGCTCACACCTGGCCTGCCACTTGGTACCTGTAGTCACAGAAACACCATGCAAGTACTTGCAAACGCCCGTCCCTCTGGGCTTTCCTTGCAGGCACGAAAGAGCCTGAGCCCAGCCCCGTTTTCCCAGGAGTGCTCTGCGTGTGCAAAAGTTGAGGTCAGCCCTGTGCACACCATGTAGGGGGCTTGCTCCTGCCCAGGTGCCAGAAGGGGAGCAGGCACGAGGAGCAGGGCAGTGTCCCAGGCCCCGGCTGCTCTCAAGCCTCGTGCTCTGGGTCGAGGAACTCGGTGGCTCCCCACAGGGGATGCAGAACATACGTGACTCCCAAGTTCCCTGCTGGCCAGAGTCCCAGCACTCCGGGTAATGCTGCTTTCCAGGATTCTCTGACCTCACCCACGGCTCCTGTGTCAGTGACTTGGATGTGGCAAATGGAGGGAGCCTACATCTCATCTCCTCCTTCTACACAAGCATTTCCATCGTTGGCTTGGGCCTCAGAAAGTTGTGGAGGCAGTGAGACGGTGTAGGCCTGCACCTAGGCAACTCCTCAGCCATGTGAGGGGCTCAGTTCAAAGAGGCCACAGAGCCACAGCTACTGGTAAAGACTGTCCCAGTGAGAGCAAAACATCGCCTTAAGAGCAGTGCACAAAGGGAAATGAGAGCTAGGCTGGTCAGCATCACGCAAGTATGAGGAGCACAAAGGCTGGTCACCTGCAACACTGGCTTACACAGGCATGGTGCACTCAACGCTTAAAGAGATTTTTATTAAAAGGGCACGTGCTTATATGAGGGAGTGCAAATGAACATCTGAAGTGGCAGGACCTTAAAGAAGGGAAAATTAAGATGAGAGAATAAAAAAAAAGAATTCAAGCTCTGGAAAAACCAGGTGAAAAGCAATCCACAGAAGATGTGAGAAAGCACCCTAAAGGCATAAACATGAATTATGACTATGTGAGAAGCAGAAAGTTCTCCAGGGAGGCTCAAGGACAGGATGTGATCAGGCTCTATAGGAAGGAATGAGCCATCAAAGAAAGCCTTGCTGGGTTACTTGCATTGCCCTTTGCTGTTAGGGAGCTCACACTACCATCATTCCTTAGGGGACACACATTTGCATGACTGTCCCAAAGCATGCAGAGGAAAAAAATATTTTTTAACACCATTTTTAGAACACATGGTTAAGTCAGCCAAAAGGAGCACTCAGATGAATGTCCAAATACTCTCCTGGGTGGCAATTGCAGTGATCCCTTTACCAAAAGGTCAATATTATTAAATATGATGCTAGTTCTTCAAAAGTTCCAGTGGGAACCAGGAAACGGGAAAGCAACTAGGCTGCCTTCTGTAAAAGGCACGTTGCTAGAAAGGATAATACAGTGTGGAAATAACAGGGCCAAGGATAATCTGGGTGTAATGGGAGATTCCATGTGGCTTTTGAGGGGTCAGTTGCAAGGCACAAGCCTAGATCCCTCTTGGAGGAAACCAGCCATTGTGTACACAAGAAAATCTGCTCCTCAGAGTGCACTCAGATCTCCAAAAAGCTCTCCCAGAAGGGTTCTTAAAGAAATTAGGCTGTCGTGGGAAGATGAGGAAGGTCTGTGTAGTTTCTTATTGGAAATATTTTCTTAGCACTCCAAAGCTTTGAAACACACGAAACAAACATTTCTTGCTGGACAAAACTCTGTGGAAAATGCAAGCCATTTCTGTGTAACTCTTGTTTCTGCTCAGTGGTAAAGGTTTCTTTTTCAGTGTTTCAGATAAATCTGTGTTAAAATGCTCAGCTGCAATCCCAGCACACAGTATAGCTTCCTTATCAGCCTCCCACATGGAGTTTCCTCACACACTTTGGACCTCAGTTGCCCAATTTGCTCTGTGCACTCCTTAAACCCCTACCCCAGAGCTTTGGAAGAGATTTTAGACCACTGCAGTCCCTGCCGGCCCTGAACTGTGAGAGCCACCAGCCCCTCTGGCCCGCCTTCCCTGCCTGAGCAGCCAGCACAGCCTCCTGCAAACAGCCCCACGCTTCAAAGGGGCTCTTCAGAACAGCCCCTGAGCTGGCACTCAGTGACATCCCTGTGATATCCCTGATGAGCTCTGTGGCCCCAAGGGCACTGGCACAGCCCAGCAAAGGTGCAGTTTGCAAGGCTATGTTCCTCCAGAGTGTGGGGGCCTGAATAAATGTATTGTTATGGAGAGTCCCTGTTAAGATCTATGTATTGTAAGATCTGTGTGGGTCTGAGTTGCTCCAAACGAGCTACAGCTGCGAAGTCCTTAGTTGGGCAGCAGCTGTAGCTCATGAAGGTAACTGGAATAAATAGGGATGGGTCAAGAGCCCAGGAGGAGCCTTTGAGAAGATGCATGAAGAACTGTGCTGCAGAGAAGAACGGCTTGGTACAGTATGGGACTTGAGAAATATTAATACAAGGAGAATACAACACCAGAGAGTTGGGGCTGCACCCCAGCTGCTGGGAGATGGGGCCACTGAGCTACCCCTGATGGGGGTGAGGCACCTCCAAGCTCCTCCTGAGTCCTTTGAGAACAGGGCAGAATGAGAACAGCCTGGAAGAGTAAAGGACCTCCATCCCTTGTGGGTGCTGCTCTTCCCTTCCCCGCTGTGGGACATGAGGGAGGCTGGTGGGCACCTCCATGCCAGCAGAGGGAAGGGCAGCCCACCACACCCTGGCTCTGACCCCTTGCCCGAGTGCATCTTGGGGGCTGTAATCAGCCCAAACCATTATTATCTGAGCATCTCATCCTCTGAAATTGTTGGCTGTACTTTTTTTCATTCAGTTTCCACTACAAACCAGCACAAAGCCAGGCCAAGCTCTCCAGGGAGGTGCAGTTTCCAGCAGACTTCCAGCTTTCACTTACTCAGATGCCTGAACACAGGCAGTGTGTTGCTGCATAATCCCATAACAGGTGCAAAATCCAGCCAGAAGCCAGAGCCAGGCAGGCACATCTCTGACACAGCACAAGGGAAAGGGGACCAAGAGCTAAGCTTCAATGTAACCCTGGGTTTCACCCAGGGAAATGGTGGCTGTTAGTGCCCCTGGGTGTGCACAGCCAGGTTGGGAGCAAAGTCCCTATTCCCAGCTCCCAGTGTTAAACAAAGCACGGAGAGGCACATTTTCATAGTCACCCAGGAGCCAAGGTCTGAAACTAAAGTCACCAATAGCCACCACCATTGTTGAAGCAGTGGATATTTGACATTAGCCACTGCCTTGAAACCAACACCAAGACTTCTCACAAGCGTTTTTATTTTTCTGAAAGTTCCATTTTTCACTCGAAAAATCTCTCACTTGAATGAAGCATTTCTACCTGGCTCTTCTAAATACTGACTTGCAGCCTGATGAATCATTAAAAGAAACGCTGTGGGCTTCCTGAAGTCCCCTAAACCTCAGCTTGGCCCTTCCAATTCCATTACCTGACCTCACCCCAGCAAATGCCCATTTCCTCCCCCCTGTGTGAGCTGAGAGAGAAGAACGCACAGCCCAGCAGCCNTGGGCGCAGCCCCGCCGCTGCCATCCCTCCGTTCTTCCCTGGGGACACGGGTGGCTCTCCCTGAGGCTTTAGAGGCATCTCCTGATCGCGGGCAGGACATCCCTTCCACCACAGGTCCCCAGAACGTTTGACCCAAAGGCCGGCCCTGAGCTGCAGAGTGCCTTTGGGCAAGTCTGCCAGCGCACAGCTCCAGCAGCCGGAGCCTCCTCCTCCACCCTTTTATCCGTTGCTGCCCCGCCTCAAGCAGCACCTGATAAAATCTTTCTCACAATTTGAAAGCCTTTGGACACCGGGAGACGCATTAAGGGTGCTACCCTGGCTTGGAGGGACTGAGATGATCGCAAGGATTAGCCGGGACCAGAAGTCCAGGGGCAGGTACCCCGTAGCCCGCACCCACAGGGACCTTGAGGCACTGGGACAGCCCTGGCTGTGGGATATAGGCGTAGTTTTGGGCAAATCGCTCCTGCCCACCCTATCCAGACCCTCTCAGAGATGTTTGTTTGACCTCAGCTGTAGGACAGTTCTCTGCCTCCTCCCTTTCATTGTGAAGCTGGTGCTGGAGAGCCTTTTCACTGGGCATCACTGTCACACGGGTATCCCTGCCCGTGCTGCCTGCCGGCTCCCTGGCACCTGGCACCAGCCACATGTGCACGGCACTGATAAGGGTTTGCCAAACAGGATGCCTGGGGCACAGATAACACCGACATTATCTCACTGCTTGAGTGACAGGGAGTAAACAAGTGACTCTGCCCACCCGGGGAATCCCAGGCGGCACCTCTGCCCTGCCAGCGAGCTGGGGCACAGGGTGGGCACAGACTGCTGGGGTGCAGCTGCAGGGATGTGCCACATCCAGGGGCAGCCCTGCGTGACAGCCAAACCACTCAGCCTACAGCTCCTAGGAACTGTGATTGCCCTGCTTCTGCCCTGCCTGGCTCTCCATGGCACTGTGCATCCCTGGAATGCTGAGACAAGCCACTGCTTACCTGGCCCTGCCCCAGCAGAACCCATCCTCCTGGCAGGACAGTGGGACCAGCCACACTGGCTGGTGTGGGGGCAGCCCAGGCACAGGAGGCACTGGCAGCCAATGAACCAGGCCACCCTCACCTTGGACACCACCAGTGCTTTTGTAGCATGTCTGGTTTAATGCAGAGATTTCAACCTTCTCCCATCTCACATAGCAAACCCAGAGCCAGATTCCTCTGCCTGTCACCTCTG